CCCCTTCAGCCTCATGACTATCGCCGTAGGGACGGACTATTGGTTGTACTCCCGCGGGATGTGTCGCTCCAAGAGTCAGAACGACAACGAGACAGTCCGTAAGAACGAAGAGGTCCTGACCCACTCAGGTCTGTGGAGGACCTGCTGCACCGAGGGTAATTCAAGGTTACAAGGTTTTTCAAGAACAGAATAACTTAGAAAATAAGCAAAAACGAAAAATATGTAAAAGAATAACATTTTAATTCAACATAAAATGTATTCTTTTTGTCATAAATTGTTTGTGAAGATATTCTACAAAGTGCCTGAAAAAGGCGAAAAGCTATTTAAACATATACTCAGTAGGTGGCAGTAATGTAGCAGAAATGTGTATAATGGACGATAAAACCATAAAGCCATGTTTTGAAGGCGGAATAATTTAATATGAAATTAAAGTTTAGTGTTAAAGGCAGAATTTCAATTTTCAATTTTTTAAACCATATTTTCATATGATGTTTTGCTAAACAACAGCATGTCTAAAACCAGTGGAGCAGTACCACTATTCTATTGCAGTTACACTGACGTGACCTTATTTGGGATCGTTGATATTGATTCGAAGTTCTTTGGAGCACTACATTTGTATGAAGAACTGGAGCTTTTTTGACCTGCTCATTGTGGTTGTGGAGTTGTAACTGAGTCAGTTTGGTTTCAGCAACAGTGACTGAGCGACATTATCAATACAGTTCAATCTGTGCAGCACATGGGGACATTTTAATCAATGATTCCCTGTAGGTGTGTTTATTTGTGCATGTGTGCGGGCACATTTGATCACAGATGTTGAAAGGCATCACAGGGTCATTTAAACAGTGTTGCTTTGCTATGTCTCAGTTGTTGGGAAGTAATTAACTGACTGTATTAAACATGACATGCTGTAATGAAACAGGTCTGAGGAAGTGCACCTTCAAGTGATGAAAAATTTAAACATTGCAGAAACAGTACAGTGGGCATTAAAGAGAGTACCAGAAGATACTCATATAAATCACGTACCACAAGGGGGTGGTCATTTCTTAATATTTCTTTAATAATAATAATCAAAGTCCCTTATTTGCCCCACGATGGGGGAAATTCACAGAGTCTTTGCAACCCACACAGACTGCCATGTGTCCCATTAAGTATGTGGTTCCTCTGGGGATCGAAACCAGGACCTGAAAACAGGTCTGCATAAAAGAGGCTCATTTACAAACTTACTTTTTATGTGTTGTGAAGTTGCAATATTGTTTGGGGAGTTTGTGACGTAGTTGTCTGTCTTTTTTTTGCAGGGACATTCCGCGGTGTTTGCAAAGACATTGATCACTTTCCTGAAGATGCAGACTATGAGCAGGACGCGGCAGAGTATTTACTGAGTAGGTAACACATTAGGTGTCTGTGTTTATTTTCCAATCCCTTCATTTACCCTTAATTTGAACATCAAAATTAATAATTCACTTTAAAAATGACACATGAGGTTATCAACTGTCTGACCCTAATCTATACAGTATATAAAAAGTATATATATATGTTGTGCTATGGATCTCTCATCTCTTGCCCTCTCCAGTATTCTTCTTTGCTTTTCTCATTTACCCTCTTCTTCTGCAGGAGCAGTACGAGCCTCCAGCCTCTTCCCCATTCTCAGTGTGGGTTTATTATTCCTAGGAGGTGTGTGTGTGGCTGCCAGTGAGTTCTACAAGTCGCGCTACAATGTAATTCTCAGCGCGGGTATACTCTTTGTCTCTGCAGGTTAGAAGCAGAAGTGCTCTCCACATTATCTCAGCTAAGTCCAATTACAGACACTTTGGTTGTTTTTGTAATGATTTAATGGACTTCTATATTAAAAAAAATATCTTTAGATAGACAAATGTTTAGTAGATAAACAGATACTGTAATTTACTTTTTTAAAGTTTATACTTATTTTTTAACATATTTTTGTGGAATAAAACCACACTGTTATACTATGTAAAAAATAGCTAATGATTTTCTATTTTAAGTATTTAGGATCTGGCACAAGAATATTTCACAATGTTATTTTGTGTGGATAATAATAAAAAAAATAATATTAATAATAATATTGATGCTTTAAGTAACCTTTGACCTTGCTCATTCTTCCAACCTCTTCCAGGTCTCAGCAACATCATTGGCATCATTGTGTACATATCAGCCAACTCAGGTGACCCCACGCAGAGTGACAACAAAAAGAGCTACTCATACGGTTGGTCATTTTATTTTGGAGCCCTGTCCTTTGTACTGGCAGAGATGGTGGGCGTCCTGGCAGTTCATGTGTTCATTGAAAAGCACAGGCAGCTGCGCACAAAAGGTCGGCCTTCCTTCACAAAGCCACCCAGCTCCCGTAACTCATCCTACTACCGCAATCGCTACTGCCAGAACCGTTCCCGACGCTACAGCTACAGGAGCAACCACAGTGCGGGGGACTCGACCTCACACTCATTTCGAACATCCTTTATGCAAGACCAAGAGCTATCTCTCTCAGCTGAGTCCAAATTGAGTGGGATGACAGTTTTACCAACACCTGTGGCAGTGGGATCAGAACTTATGCTGTACACCTTGACCTCGCCACTGGAAGATGGAAAGATGGACATGGCTCTGGAGGATTTAAGTGTTGCAACTGCTCACAATGACACAGAGGTGATGCCTGGGAACTGTACAGCCAACAGAAGGACCACTCCTGTGTGAACAGACACATCACTACAAAATGATGAACAATGAAAAACAACAACAAGTCCTTCCTTCACTGATGAATAATAAGAATATTAAAGTGAGTTACTTTTGTTTTCTGATAAATCAAAGATGAAGTAATTCTTAATATTTAAAATGTCTGCACTGTTCTTTTAATTGTGCTCTGTGCTGTATATGACCCTGAAGCCCTGGTTAAATGATCAGACTGTTCTACAGTGTAACCCAACTTTTTTTCTCATACTGTAGTTGTGCAAAAGACTTTTTGTTTACATTATTTATATAAATTTCATTAGAGTACATTAAATATATAAAATATCTGGGGATTAGCTCAGAGGAAAAAAAAACAGTGTCACATTCAACAATTTTGTTTTTGTGCTGTGCAGCACTCAGGTTGACAGAATATTTTTTAAGAAGGTACAAATGTACAAACAGTTCCTGGCAAAGAGTCTACTCATCTGTGATGCAGACATTAGGTCTCTTCTGCACATGGACATGAATGAGATAAGGTGTATTAGAGGCACTAGATGCAGAACAGCAGGTTAACCAAGACAGCTGCTGTGTCGTCATGACAGCAGCATTCACCAGACACATTTAAGCATTTGTCTTTGTCATCTCCTATTTGGCGACTAAAGAGGTCACTGAAGTCTGAGTTTAAAATAAGCCTTACATTCACTTAATGTCATGCTGGAATAGACATTTCCAAATGCTCAGTACAGGTTATAAAATGATAACATGACACAACAAGCTAGGTCTCCGTAATCTGTATGCACATCAACAAATTCTAACTTCAGTGATCATAACATGATTCTTTTTGAATGTTTCAAGAATAACTATTTATTTCTTGCTATCCTAACCTATGATTTTACACTTTTCTGCAAAAATTGTTGAGTAAGTCCTCAATTCACTGAAATTTAATTTAATTCATTTAATGTCTGTCTACTTAAGACCAGTAGAGGTAGGAATTGAGGTTAATATTTATAATTTGCTATTGTAATGTACTTAAATTGAAATCAATGGCTGCAATGGGATTCAAACCCACACCCACACAGCAACTGGAGCCTTAATCCAGCACCTTAGAGCACTCGGGCACACAAGTGTTTGTTTTGCACTAAAATTTCCTTGTTTCACAGTCTTTTTCAACCTACAAATTTACACTATTTGGCAAAAGTTGTTGAGTATGAACCTAAACCCTATATATTACATCAAGAGTTCCTAGTTTTGGTGAAACCTTCATTTGTTTCTATTGATAAATGATTCAAAGTAAAATCCTGGCAGCGGTGGGATTCGAACCCACGTCTCCTAAGAGACTGGAGCCTAAATCCAGCGCCTTAGACCACTCGGCCACGCTACCCTGTGATGGTGTACTAAAATGTCCTTGGTTTACAGGTTTTTTTTCAAAATGTTGAGGCTTCAAACTACAAATTTCAGCCACTAAAGACATGTATAAGGAGGAAATGAAGAGAGACTTAATTTTTAATTTGCTATTACTTAATTTCCCCAGTGTGGGATGAATAACGTCTTATCTTATTTTTGTAATGTATAACAATGGCAGTGGTGGGATTTAAACCCACGCCCGCACAGAGACTGGAGCCTTAATCCAGCGCCTTGGATCGCTCAGCCACACTACCCATGACTTTGCCATTAAAGGGTTATTCATTTACATTTATTTAAAATTACGTACATCAGCCATGAGGGGGATGGATAGGAGATTGACCAAGTAACATTTAAGGCGCCACGCAGTCCTGACTCTACTTCAAGTAACTATTGTTGCTAAAGAACTAATCCTTAATTGGATTCCACAGACCTTACCTTATATATTACAGTTTGTAGTTTTGGTGAAACCTTAAGTTGTTTCTATTGATAAATAATTCAATGTAAAATCCTGGCAGCGGTGGGATTCCTGTGATGGTGTACTAAAATGTCATTATTTAACAATCTTCAGGCTTCAACCTACAAATTTTGTTGTTGAGTAAGACCTAAATTCCTTGATGTTAGGAAATTCAATTAATTTAATCTTCATCCACTAAAGGCATGTATAAGGATGAAATGAGAGATATAGTGTTTGCATTTATAATTTACTAATATTGTAATGTAAAGCAATGGCAGCGGTGGGATTCGACTGGTTCTAGTGGGATTTGTATGTTTGCCTCTTGGTTCCACAATCTTTTTGATATTTTAATCATAGACCCCACAAATTTCTTCAGTAGGATATTTTCCCATATTTCACATTCACAAACGATATCAGTGATATAAAAAAATCACACTTGAAACATGTAATTCTATCATAAGTTCTATTTGTGTTTATTTTTGACTTTTATCTCACATTTTTCATCATTAGCCTTATAAAATAAAGTATTATAGTTTCCCTTTCTATTAGCTTCATATTTTTTATCCACAGAAATTGGCGAAGACAGTTGGGAATATTTCTTCTACCGTTAATTCACAAAACATGACTAACTCCTCATTCGCTGTTGTCTCTGAAAGAACCATATACACATCCGCTTCCGCCCTGCGCCATTTTGATGAAACAGCGAGTGGAAGGTCTTTCACCGAAGATTATTTTATGGAGTAATTTGAAGATTTATCCGACTCGGCTACTTTATGTCTTACCTAGAGGAAAGTTACCGTCGAAAGAAGATGAAACTCCATGTTTCGACCCCTGACTTGGATTTAACGGAACGGTACGACGGCGACACCTGTTAGCATTCTTAGCTTAGCTGTTGGTCTGTAGCGTAGCGAGTCAGCATTGACTCTAGCATACTTAGTCTTAGTCGTATAGTCGCATGTACGACGCATAAGCTTGACCGTGACAACACCCGTGGACTTTAAGACTTTCAAGTTTTTGGACATTTATCGTTTTTTTCTTCATTTATTTGAAATACAATTTACCTGCGTGTTGTGGTGGGGTAACCCGGCCTGTGCTGCCAGCTTCAAGTGCGGCTTTCAGTGCGAAGGCCTGGTTGTTTCTCCAAGGACATTTCACTTTGGACATTACCTAATTTAAGGCCCGATAAAAATATTGCTTGGTTGCCACTTGGACTTTCGTGAATTCGGTGGTACTCGTCGAGTTTACTTGGACTTTGAAGAACTTGCGAGGCTCGGGGTGCCGCTGCATGGCACCCAGGTCTCAAACCCCGGCGTTTTTTGTTTTTTTTTTGGCAATAACAAAGACTCTCGTCATCTGCAACCCAAACACAGCTTCCTCATATTAATTTCCTTTTCCCTAGTACTTCAACACGTATAAATATGTTATATTAAAAACTTTGGCCTAATGTGTTAAGAGTAGGCGTTGTTTAATTTTGTTATACCAAATCTGTGGTTTTGTTTTCTATTTCCATCTTGTGTTTGGTTGAGTACATAGGCCTGTGAAAATGTCGTGTGTTCACTACAAGTTTTCTTCCAAACTGGACTACAACACAGTTACTTTCGATGGGCTGCATATCACCCTCAACGAGCTTAAAAAACAGATTATGGCCCGGGAGCGCCTCAAGGCCACAGACTGCGACCTGCAGATCACCAACGCGCAGACTCGAGAAGGTACGTTATCAACTGTTACGTAACGCCATTATGCCAGCCATTGTGGCAATCGTTGATACGAATATTTATTATATCACTGGCAGACATAATGCTATATGTGTTTTATTATTCAATGGTTTAATTACCTTATTCTCTTAATGCTGTGTTTATTACAAGCTCACTGTTTTACACACATTGAAGACGTCACGTGACTTTTTTGTTTTATATATACGTTCTTGTGTGAACACTGCAATGTTTTCCGTCATTTATGTAGGTAAGTCTGCTATTGGATTTGGTACGTTAGTAACAATGTTCAACCTTTACCTGAGACACTTTACTCAATAGCAAGATAATATTGGAGAAACCCCAAAGATTATTTATATAGAAACTATTTCTGTGCAGTTGATCAGCTGTTTAAAGAGCTATTGTATTTTTGTGGAAGTGGAGCTGCCATTTTTTTTTTATTTAAGTATTTTTATAGTTTTGAGTTAAGTTGCATTCAGTATTATGACTTTGTATTATCATGTTTTACGGTGAATTTTCTCGTGGTTCGCAGAATATACTGATGATGAAGCCCACATCCCGAAACACTCGTCAGTGATTGTCCGTCGCACTCCGCTTGGTGGAGTCAAACCTGCTGGCAGGACGTTCATTGTGTATGTATTAAATTATTACTGGAATGACTTTTGAGAGCACAATCAGTGGTTGATAGCGTGCCAACTTTTACATTAGTCTTAGTGTTAATTCAAGCCTGACCTTGTTAACCATATTATTGGTAACATACGTATGTAACATATATTGCTGACATATCCTGTGTGCCCTCTGTTCTTGCAGAGATCGTTCTGACACAGCTGTGGTTGGATCTTCGAGACCCGTATGTAAAACAAACCCAGTACAACACTCTGTCCTCCTCACCTCACACACTCTACCCCTCTCTCTGATTATATCCACCTTTCTCAAAAACATTCTGTTGACAGAAATCGAGCTGTGTGTATTTTCTGTTCATTGTTTGTTGGTTACATTTGTGTTGTGACTGATTTTCTACATGTCTGAAGATGTTTTGAGGGGTCCTGAAGTCACAGTTTAATTAGATTGTTGTTTTTTAAGTGATTTTATGACTCAATAAACAAATAAAGCTGTGGCGAAATGGTACATGAAACAACAAATCAGGTAACATTGTTATGAAGGGTATGAATTAATCAAATGTTGAACTGTTGGCACTTTTTGAAAAATGAGTTAAATATAACTGTTAATCATTGTTTCATATTGAAATGGTTTGAAGTCTACCTCAGGGAATACTGTACTTAATTGGAGTTTTTAAAAGAAAAACATGGTATTTTTTAATTGTCATGTTATTTGTTGTAAAGGTATTATATTCATTTTGCTTTGGGGAACAGGTGAAGTGAAATGTGGCAGGATTTTTTGTTTTTAACATAACAATGACGATGCCAAAGGTGTAACTCACAGACATGCCACTAATATTTATATATTTATATATATATATATATATATATATATAACTTAACCTGCTTACTTAACCTGCTTATCTTCAACAGAATTTAATCTGCTGTTTGTTCCCATTTATCACTGTCTTTCTTTTGTACAACCTCATCTTGATGATGTTATATTCTGCTATGAGTATGGATTGCATATAACTTCAATATCAAGAAGATTAGATATTTTACTATGCTCACTAAATACTCAGTTAAATTCCTTCATTTCTCTTTTGAAGAAACCACCAATAGCTTATAACACGGGCTTAAAACAATGGGAGAAGTTCATAAGTGAGATTCTATGAGACAAATTTCTGACTACTTCTCAGATTTTGGAGGCCTTACTTGGTTGCTGCAGTAAGCAATATACTGGTGTAGTGTGTCCTGTAAGCTGTAAGCTGCAGTACCTGTCAATAAAGCTGTTGAGTGGTTCAGTGTCTGAACTGCTTGCACCAGATCCTTGTGTGTTCCCTCCACAGAATTGTCCAAAAAGGATTTCTGCTAAGCCCTGCACACCATAATTGACTATCATACCCCATGGTCCTTACTCTTAAATTTCCTTGAGCAGAATGGTTTTAACTTAAAATATTTGTTCAATTTTATCTTTATTCAGTCTTCTGGAACTATAACCTCGCCCAGTTGTGCACACTGCAGTGTATAATAGTAGTATATTGACAGCTTCAGTGAATGTCAAATGTTGTTTATATTTTCTTGGACTGCAGTGTTTATACATCACCTTTTAAACACCTATATTTGCATTGTCAAAGCTAGCTTTTGAATTTTTAAACCATGCTAACCAAGTTGGTTAGCTTTTTTTTTTACAGAGTGGCATATATCAGATCTTCTGTAAATGATTGATGATAGAAATGTGGCACCCTTGATTAGTTGGTTCAACTTGTATTTGTCCTTTTTGCCCTTTTATAGTTAAACTACATTTAAATTTTAGTGATGTTTCAAATGCAGCTGCACAAGCAGGAATAGTGTAAGTTTGTATTTCTCTGTTAAGAAATACAGACATACAAACTGGTGCGTTGTCAAAGCTTAGATTGCGCAAGTGTAGGTATCCATGTTCAACATAAAATGCGCAATGGTTTGCATTTTAAATGTGCCTTATGTTTTAGATATTTTCCTTAAAGGACACCTTCATGGACAGGACACAGATGTGGTGTAGGGGGAAAAATCAGGGCTCTTTTCTTCAACAGATTATTAATTAAACATTGTGTTAACACTCTTATTATCTGTATTCTGATTTTCCTGCAGACTGATTCTTCCCCCTCTATGTCACTCGCACAACTTTCCAAGGTAGTATTTATGTTTAGTTCAAGTAAAACCCTTTGTTTTTTGTGTTCTTTTTTTCATTGACCCTTTTTCCTCTCATTGTGTGCTTTAGACTGCAAACCTGGTTGATGCAAATGCATCAGAGGAAGACAAGATTAAAGCCATGATATCTCAGTCCAACCATCAATATGACCCAATACAGTTAGTACAAAAACATTTTTGTTGGGCTTGTTTTTATCAAACTCGGAGTGGTAGTCGGTAATTAATCAATTGTCTTTGTATTATTTAATAGCTGCTGTATTAAAACATTGTCTCAACAGCTACTCCAAGAAAGCTGTTGGACCTCCACCTGCTAATTATACCTGCTTTCGCTGTCTAAAGGCTGGTCACTACATACGGCAGTGCCCCTTGTTGATGGTATTGGTCATTTGCTATGTTTGCATCTAATTATTGTTAAAATTTGTTTGAAATGTAACCAATAACAATCATTTCTAGTCCCAAGATAAGGGTGCAGAGGCTCCTAAGCCAGTAAAGACCAGTAAGGGTATCCCTCAGAGCTTCATGGTGAAAGCTGAGCCAGGCACCAAAGGAGCCATGTTAACCAGCACTGGAGAATACGCAATACCTGCCATAGATGCGTATGTGTCAGAAATATAACTTAATTTACACACAATTTAATGTTGCTATTGGAGTTGTCGCAAGAAATTTTATATCTGTCTAAAAAATGTATACTATTTTAACATAGGGAAGCGTATGCACAAGGGAAGAAGGAGCGCCCTCCCTTTGTTCCACATGAGCAGTCTTCATCAGAGGATGAGTCTGACCCAATTCCTGATGAACTACTCTGTCCAATTTGTAATGACCTAATGACTGATGCCGTGGTTATACCCTGCTGTGGAAACAGTTACTGTGATGATTGTGAGTGATCCGTTTGTTTTTTTGCCAAAATTTGTATGCATGAACTATATATAAAATATGGATTCAATATGTCTTGTTTTTTCTTATCCGTAGGTATCCGTACAGCGTTGTTGGATTCAGAAGAACACATCTGCTACACATGCAAACAGTCAGATGTTTCACCTGATAATCTCATTGCCAACAAATTTCTCCGTCAGGTAACATCGTCACATTGATATCTCATTTTTTTATTTGACCTGATCACTAATAATTTTTGATTTCTAAGTCATGTATTTTATTTTTATTTAGGCTGTGAACAATTTTAAGAATGAAACTGGATACACTAAACGCACACGCAAGCAGCTCCAACACAATGTTGTGCCCCAACCACGGCTTCAGATGACCAGACCCCTCTTCTCAAGACAGCAGGACCCATTACTGGCCAATGTCACAGCCCCACCTCTCACAAATGTACCCGTCAGTGCACCTCAGGTGCAGGTTCAGACTCCTCCTGTTACTGCTGCGGCAATTACTTCTGCTGCTACTTCACCTCCTACTGCTGCTAGCCCTGATGCTCCAACTCCTCCTCCAACTGGGGAAGAGAGTCAAGATGTGCCAAAATCTCCTGCACCTGCTGTAAACCACCATTCTCCAATGCATTCCAACAACCAGGGTGAACCCCCGCCACCTGGGTAAGTTCAGTCCGAATTGTTCTGTAGTCTGGAAAACCCAGCACTCAATATCCATAAACTAAGTTTGTGTCATGCTCTTTCGTGTCTTAGGGAAACTAATCTAGCACCCCCCATGAGAGCAGCCCCTGAAAAAGCCTCAGAAAGTGGATCACATGTGAGTGTTATTTTGAATGTTAATTTAAGATACAGTATCACATTTGGTTTATTGTGATCTCATTAATTATATTTTTTAGACCCAGGGCTACCATTTACCTATAATTGGCCACCCACCACCACCACCCACAAGGCCAACCCATCCATCAGGTAGGAGAACAAATTAGATAAACTGCTAAAGTGAGGTTGCATCTTACTAAACTTTTTGTTCTCTGTTAGGTCACCAGGCAAGACCCCATCAACCACAAAGGGGAGGGCCCAGACACTGGGAGAGGTAAAGCTCATCTATAAGCACCTTTTATATATATTTTGTATTTTTCCTTTTTTACAGCATTCTTCTTTTTTTTTTTTTTTTTGATCAGGTCATACAGAGGTAGAGGAGATTATCCCACTACCTCTCGCCTCCCTGCTGCACTACCTCCTGTACCTGCTCCTCCAGTATACCCATCTCCATCACTGTACCCACACCCACCGCAGCCTTATCCCCCTCCCTACACCTCTGGCCCTGGGCTTCTTGCTCCTCCAACAATTGGGTACCAGCCTCAGCCCATTTTTGCACCTGGACCACCAGGACTTAACCCTCCCTGGGTTCCTCCTGGCACCCAGCCCCCTCTTGGCCACCTGGTACCGTCTCTCTCTCAGCCTCCTCTCTCTAAGGAAGATTTTTATAGGCAGCGGCACAGACAGGATAAGTAAGTAATATTTCAAAGTATTTAAATTGAATTTTGAATGTAGTATTTTACATTGTTGTAACAAGATAAATATTTTTAAATAATTTCTTTGCATTTAGGGTTACATCCAAACTCGATGAATTCACCAAAGACTTCCACAAAGAGCTTATGAAGTACAGAAATTCACCAAAGAGAAGAAGGCGATCTTATTCCAGGTAAAATTGATTAAAAAAACATCAGCTAAGTTTGTATCTGACTTATCTGAACTAGGCCAATGATCTGTCAGATTGATTAATTATCTTTACGTGTATATTTCACTTGGTTACTCTGTAAATCTTTTCCTTTTTTTTTTTGTAGGTCCCGGTCATACAGCCGTTCTTCATTCAGCCGTTCTTACTCTCGCTCAAGATCGAGATCTAGGTCCTATTCGTATAGCCCTAGTCGATCCCGGTCTAGGTCACGCTCCCATGGACGCTCTTATCCCCGCTCTCCATATTCTAGACGTAATGGACGCAGTTATGGACGCTCCCGTTCAAGAACCCGCTCCCGTTCAAGGTCTTATGGTTATCGGCGCTCTGGTTCACCCCGGTCTCCTCCTTCCTATCGAGGTGGAGGCTGGGAAGGAGCTGATGGTGCAGCACCATATAGGTCTAGGTCACGGTCTCGCTCTCCTGGGGGCTTCAGAAGCCGCAGCCCTGGTGCAAGAAAGCCACCTCCTCGAGAGCTACCACCTTATGAACTAAAGGGTCCTGGAACCGATGATCGGTGGGAGAGAGAGCGGTATCGACAGTGGGAAAGGGAGTACAGAGACTGGTACAACAAATACTACAAGGGGTATGACAACCAACATCCTCCTCCACTACATCAGAGAGGGCGTGGAAGCAGAGACAGGGAGAGGGACAGACCGTCACCCTTATCAAGAGATTACTCACCCCAGGAAAGAGCAAGAAGAGGAAGAGATGACAGGGGTCCTCCTCCTCACCACCCTCTTTCTTCTACCTCATCCGGAACCAAGACCAGCACAAAAGTTCTGAAATCAAAAAAATTGAAAAAGAAAAAAAGTGGAGATGAACCAGAGTCATCACATCAATCAGCAGACAGAGGTGATGCCACTCCCGTCAGGGATGAACCAATGGATGAAATCCCAACACCCAATAAAACCCCTCCTGTCTCGTCGAAACCCTCGTCCAGCTCTGCAGTTCCTAAAGCTTCATCTTCTAAAAGTGCTTCTTCGCAAATTAAATCGACAACCAAGGCTACTTCCAAGTCCCAGTCTGATAAAATGAAGAAAGAAAAAGTTCAGAAAGTAAAAGCTAAAGTGAAAACAGAGAGTGTAAAGCCAAAGAGCGATAAAGTTAAGAAAAAGACTGGTGATGCAGTGGCTATCAAAAAGAAAGAATCATCCAGCTCCTCCTCCTCAGGTGCTAAATCAGTAAAGGCGAGTAATACTACACCAGATGATCATTTGAATGCGACTACTCCGAAAAAGGACAAGAGTAAAAACTCAACAGTTAGGCCTGCTCTACTTAAGACTCCCCCTTTGCCCTCCCAAAACCTGCCCCTACCCCATCACTCTGGTCACGATGGCTCCCGTCTTGGCCATGACATGCGTGGAAGAAGGGATCTTCCACCTGGTGGAGGTCTTCTGCCCATGATGCATCAACATGGACTCCCCCTTATTCACCGACCTTCCTCCCCAGTGGACAGCCGAAGAAGGATGGGAGAGGAGAGCCGTTCTTTGCTTGGAACTCCTCCCAGAAAGCTGAGGCGAATTGATGGACTGGGTGGTGACGTCCTCTCCCACCCACACCTTTCTCACCAGCCACCAATTCACAGACTTCCAATCTCCTCCGACCGACCAGGTCTTCTTCCAATACCAGGGACTCGTGACATGGGCAGAGGAGACACGGATAGAGGAAATATCAGACCTCTGATGGACCTGCAGGTAGGTCTATTACTGCACTTGCTTGTCAAGGTTAAAAAAAATGAATAAACAATATTTTTACTATGTACAGTGTGGGACAAATTTTGAAAGTTGTGTAAACAACAAAAGTTTTGTAAACTAAGACAAAGACATTATGGCTGTAAAAACATCAACCCAATGACAGATGACAGATGTAATTTAACAGTAGAATACAATCGTTTTCATTGTTCATTGATGTAATTTAACAGAATACAATCGTTTTCATTGTTCATTGTTTTGGTAATCATTCCCTCTCCCTTGGATACCTCTGCATAAAATGACTGTCTCACATGAACCTGTAATTCAGGTAAAACATGCACAGTACTTGACTAAGGTTTGTTCTCTCCGTTGTTTTTGGCCTGTAGATCTGAATGTAAAGAAAAAAAACCTTAACCAGTTAAATGATGGTAGCACTGCTCTGAAGTTTTCAGTTCTTAAGTAATACTACAGAATTATAAATGTAAACTTTTAGGGCAGCTGTTGACAATTTATTGTTGTACCCCAGAAAAAACAAAATATCTGCATCTATGTAAAGAAGATTTAGTACAGTTGAGCCTAAGTTTCTTGGATAAATTCACTTTCTTTTTTTAATTTTCAGATGCAAATTCCACAGAGAAGGATCAAGTTGAACAGAAACTTGGGCAGAAAAGACACAGACACAGGCTCAGACAGAGCACCATCAGGTCCTGAGAAGACAGGCTCCTCCTCTGACCGACTAGCTGCTACGGACTTCTCAGAAGGAGACAGATGCAGTAGCACAAGAGATGGAGATGGAAAAAAAGAGCGACCTGCATCTGGTGAAAGCGGTATCTCTCATGAAAGAACTTCCGTCACTGGAGAGAGACAACAAGGCTTGGATAGAGAGGACAGGCGCTGGGGAGACAGAGTTTCTGGATCCGACAGGGACAGAACTTCTGGAACCGACAGATTAGACAGAGACAGAGAAAGAGTTTCTCATAAAAACAGAGACAGAGTTTCTGCAACAGACAAGTTGGACAAAGACAGACCTTCTGGATCAGACAGAGCAGACAAAGACAGAGCAGAAAAAGAAAGAAAAGATAAAGACAGAGCAGACAAAGACAGAGCAGAAAAAGACAGAGCAGACAAAGACAGACCCGACAAAGACAGAGCAGACAAAGACAGAACCGACAAAGACAGAGCAGACAAAGACAGAACCGACAAAGACAGAACCGACAAAGACAGAACCGAACCGGAACTGAAAAATTGGACCGAGTTTCTGGAGCGGACAGAGGTGAAAAAGATAGAGCTCCAGCAGTGGACAGATCAGACAAGGGAAGATCTTCTGGATTGGACAAAGACAGAAGTCAGGGTTCTGACAGGGAGAAGGACAGGGAGTCTGGGTCAAGCTCACATAAAGCAGCTATTGTTGAGAGGGACGCCGAAGAAGAGAAGGCAGTGAGGACAGATCGTAAGACCTCTGCTGTTGGAGCGCGATCTGTTAGTCTAGATAAAATGACCATTGGTGAGAAAACTGCTGTCGGCAAAAAACAGACAGACCAACAGGAGACACCAAGTGTGTCCTCTAAGGACAAAAGTGAAGGAGTGGGAAAAACATCCAAGTCTGACAGGTGTGCTTACACACATTTCTCTGTTACTTGAAAGAACATTATTGCTGGACTGTGTACAATTATGTTCTGTTATTTCCCAGGAGTGTGTCCAAGGACAGAACAGAGAAGAGTGTCCCCTCAGGAGAGAAACCAGCTGCCACTCAGAAAGAAGGTAATTGGTATTACTGTCCAAGCATGTGTGAAAGGATGCTAGCAGTCTATACCTTAATTATAACACGCCTCCCCTCCCCAGCAGGAAAAGATGGCGACGGGTCTGCTGTGAAGAGCAAGCCTAGAATCAGCCGAAAGGTTTTGAGTCAGACTGTGACAACAAGTCAGACAACAAGGTGAGGCTTTGCTGTAGGCTCACAGGGGTGCAGAACAATTAATATCTTTAATCTGATTAATCCATTGTTTGCTTTGAGTAAATTACAATATGTTGTTGTCATAATTAGTTATGATTAATCAAGATAAGTATTCACTAGCCTCAGGAATATTATTCAGTCATGTCAGTCAGCGTCTCACCCATAGACTGACTTACTGCCATGCACTCAGTGAGGTTAGTCTGACACAAGCCTGTTATTAAGGCCTCAACAAGCACAAGATGAGCACTGAGATGTGTTAATGGTGGGCCGTTTCACTAATTAATTTATTGTGACCACCCTAATAATTGCATCCCTATGTATACAGCTGAGATAAAAATATTTACTAAATATACAAAGACATAAAATTAAAATACATTTTAATATAATGGTTTTGTTTGCTTATCAAATTTAGACCAACCCAAGAGCAACTCATTCAGCTGCCTCCACCTTCCAAATGGGAGAGAGAGGACGACGAAGACTGGCAAGAAAGTGTAGATAGTGCCCACAAGGAACCTTCCCCTCCGCCTCAGAGGAGCCGAGGCAAGGAGTCACAGAGTGAGGCACCTAAACTTGTACGGGATTCTGTGAGGGTGGATAAAAAAGTAGTGAAAGAGGAGAAAAAAGTGAAGCCAACCAAGGAAGAGGGTAAGGGTAACAGAGCATCACAGTCAAATGTGGAGAAACCTTCTAAACCGAAAATTGTTAGGGAGGAAAGCAGAGGACTTAGGGATGAGGGAAAACCAAGTGCCAGAGAGGAGTCTAGAGGAGGAGGAAGAGATGAAGCTCAAGGAGCAACGGGGAAGGAGGAAAGATCAGCAGAGGGACGAACAGGGAGCAGCAGAGATGAGAGTCGTGGCCCAGAGCCTCGGAGACAGCGGTTGTGTTCAGATCTTGGTCGAGAGACTGACGAGGCGGCTTTCGTGCCAGACTACAGCGAAGGAGAGGGGTCTGATCTAGACAGAGGGGGCAGTGCCAGTCCCAGCGGGTCCAATAGCCATCCCTCCCGCAGCCCCAGCCTGAGTAACACCAGTGACACAGCAGACAAGAAAAAGAAGAAACACAAGAAACATAAAAAACACAAGAAGCACAAGAAACATGGCAGTCAAGAAAAGGGTGAACACAAGGAGCATAAGCACAAACACAAGAAGAAGAAACACAAAAAGAACAAAGACAAAGATGGGGAGGAAGAGGAAGGGAAGTCAGAGAAAGCAGAAGAAGAAGTCCCTTGCTAACAGGAGTGAATCGAACTTTTGTTGGGCTGAAACCTTTACAGGCTCGCCTTCGTGATGCAGAGTTTATATGAAAACTGAAAACTGCTCTGTTGTCCATATTTACTCAAACTGCAGCCAATCAAATCATGATTTTGAGGGTTGAGGATGCCATATTCAAAGGAAGCTTATGGACTACAGTAGATCTCTGGGTCGCGGCTGTTATTTTGCATCCAAACAATGTGGGTGCCGCATCTCAATACTTCAGCAGTACGCCCCCTGTCTTTATTACAGGATCAGCAGCACGGGCTTCATGTCCAACTGGACACACATTGTTCTGCTAACTTCAGATAGCTTCTTCTAGCACTGAGCGTTCAGTGACTGTGTAAAATGTATATTTGAGTCAACTCTGTAGATGAATTAGAATGGAGTGGCCCATGATTGAATTGGAGAATTTCTCACGTTTTGAGGAATTGTATACGTATTAGTTCCTTTTTTTAATTAAAGTGTTTTGACTTGATGTTGATGTCTGGAGTTTTATTAGCTCGCCTGCACTGCTGTTCAACATCACATGGGCTTCAAGCCATTCCTGAAGCTTGTAGTGGTAGCAGTACAAGGCGATGATGTACTTTGTCTGGGGAAACAAAAATTTGTTTTCCCTAAAAGTCCCTAAAAACATTACCTGTGTCTTGAGGTTAATTGCTGACTGAGGTTCTGTTTGTTCAAATCAATTGGAAAGCTAGCTTCTCTTCCAGCTCCATGTTTAGCCTCGGTTGCTGATGATCTCACACCCAAGGACAAGTATGTTCTTCACTACCATGGTGCCCAAGCAGGCGTAACTTCTTTAGTCTTGGACAGACGTATAAAATACATCCAGTAATAAAGGACCAGACGTGACGGCTTTACAGAAAGCCCTAGTTCTAATTTTACCCTTTTCTGAAAAAATGTCGTTGGTTATTATTTCATGGCCAACATTATTTACATTAGTTAAATGTGTGTGAAAAACTGAGCCAACTTACTGTTGGAATCTGACTTTGGCTTTTTATTTGTGATTATTAGTACTTAACATCAAGTACTACAAAGGCATCAACACGTCCACTCAAGCCTTGAATAGATGGAAAATGTGGTTTGGTAAAGGTACTGATGAATGTGTAAATTTGATTTTCTTCTTTTGTTAACAAGTAGATGTTTGGGTTTTTTTTGCTGCTTTGTGGAGCCTGTTTTCTTCCTTTCTACTGTCAAGTTCTGTTAAAGCTGCTCAGAGTAATTTCCGATCCATATATTTGGGCCAATATACTGTAGATATGTTTGTTGAGCTAAAAAAAAAGGGGTTAAAGGCTGGCTTTTTTGCGAGCTTGTGTTTATTGTTAAAATTTCACCATATGTGAAACCCTGTAGAATCCGCAACTGAGTTGGTATATAATGTAAAAATGTTTTTACAGCACTTGCAGTGCTGAGAGAAAAAAATAAATAAAACATTGCAATGTAAATCAATGCCTTTCAATTTTTTATTTTTTATTTTTTTAGAAATAAATTTTAGGCTGTGATAAAAGACTATTGTACTGCGCCAATCAGGAGCATTTTTAAGCAGAAAATATAAGCCTAATTCATATGCTACAAATACAAACATATAAACAAAACGAAACATATAAGCCTAATTCATATGCTACAAATGAAATTGCCACCTTAAAATTAGTTATTTTAAAATAATATGTTATTTTAGTCAATTTACAAAATGAATTAAAAAAAAATTTCAGTAATAAGAAAGTGCAGGGTGTGTGACTAAACACTATGTGGTGCTGTTAGCCTTTGAATTTAACAACAGAAAGTGTCCTTCAGTTTTCTTCAGCTGCTCAGTGCAGTCCCACATGGCCTTAACTCCCCTTCACAGCACACAACAATAAGCTCTAGTGTGTGTATATGCATGTGTGTGTGTGTGTGTATGTGTGTGTTCAGTTGTGATGATGTGTAAACCAGCAGATTACACAGGGAAAAAGCAGAAGGCAGAAGTCGGGCACAACGGGAGGGTAAAAGGAAGAGTTGGAAGCAAAAAGCGTCAGATTTATTTTCCTTCAAACTTCACACCAGAGCACATTCAGCTCATGCTATACATTGTGTGTGTGTGTTTGTTGTGCTCATCCCTAATGGACAGTAAGATCAGTGAGACCATTACAGAGGATTAATATATTGTTTTAACCCTTGCCCAGATTACCATCACAATTCATTATTCCTCTCATTTTTCATCCAGAAAGGAGTCACTCTGCATGCAGTATTGTCTGGTGTGTGTGTGCATGTGTGTGTGTGCGAGTGCATGTGCACCTGTTATCTGTCTGTGTCTGCTCTTGTTTTGTCACACAAACATTGCATCATTTCCTGTCATCAAGGCCAAAGGTTGCTAAGCAACTTCACTTGTGCCGAATGTCAGAAAAGATGTTTTTTTTCTTGTGACCAGCGCACACAACAAACTGTGTCTCCTTTTTTTCCAGCGGCTCCGACCGAACGTCTGCACTGAAGACACTGCTTTAGACTGCATGAGTGACTGAGCATGCACTCATATGGTCCACTGTGCATTTGTGCCGACCGACATATATGGTCACAGGGGAAGTGGGGAGATGGCGATGGGAGAGGAAGAGTGGAAATGAGATGTCAGACAGATTTCCATGATTAGTGATAATGATTTTGTTTCTTTTCCGCCTTCCATTTTCATGGGCGTTGAACTTTTTTAAAAGGGCCAGATCAAATATGTTACAACACTCAGGAGCACAGTATTCCTACAAATGATATTTAAACAGCAAAACATTGTCTTAGTAATTTGTATTTAAAGACAGAAGAATTAGAAATACTTCAACTTCACTTGTACTTTAATGCCTGATATTTGTTCTGTTCCTCTCTCCTTCAGATGAGAGCCGGCAGGAACGCCTTTATATACCCGTCAACGTTAGTGAATATTCGACAGTGCACTCAGGGTTTACAGCAGTTTTCCATTTATTACAAATCATGGAAGCTAAAGACTGTTTCATCTTATGGGTTTGCACAAAACACAGCAAGTTATTAGTGGTGTAAAAAACAAAGATCGACTGTAATATCACATTTTTTTTCACGATACTGTATCGATATCGTACACCACTGTATTGATTTTTTTTAATTAACAAACAACATGCAAATATTTATGTAGATCCCTCTCTCGAGCCTATAGTATCTCAGTATATTGCATCTGCCTATGTATTGCAATACATATCGCCAGATTCTTGCCAAAACATACCCCGACAAGTTATACTGTAGACCAATGGAAATGACAGCAAAATGACCAAATAAAAAAAAATAAACCTGACATCCTGAAGATTAACCATGATGTATTAACTGCTTCATTGATGTCTTCTAGGTGGTGCTATGGAGCTAATTGACACACCTGTGATGACGGACGTATGGTTTGGTGCACGGCAGACAACAAATGTTTCAGAGACACAACAATATTCTCTGTCTCTCGCCGAGACTTGCTTTAGCCCCGGAGGAAAATTTACCAGCTTTATAACAGATATATTTCATTACAGATACACATCGAGGAAGATGAGGGGGGGAGCAGACGGATCAGGCAAAGACAAAGATGAAGAAAAGAAGGAGGAGGAGGAGGAGAGGAGGAAAAACAAAGAGAAGTGAAAGATGAAGGCTGGTCCTCCTGATTGGTCCTCCCACCAAGGTCAGAGCTGAGGCTTAGTACTTTGTGTGTGTGTGTAAGTGTGTGGGTGGCTTTGTGTGTGTGTTGTTGTTGTTGTTCAAACCACAGTACAAACTGAACAAATGTACCTAATGCTAATATTGTTAGCGTCCAACAAGGCACAAACCCATTTATATCAATGAGGGCTGGAAACAAGTCAGCGTAATGCAGTGGATTTCGAGAACACGAAGCACTGACGGGAAAAAAAACTATTAGGTTCTTGCTCTTTCACAAAAGTTTTAGTTAAATATAATAATATTATACATACAAAACATATAAATATACAAAGTGTATATTTATATATTGTACATATAATACCCACCCACTCAGCTTTGTCTCTAATTCAGTGATTATTGTAGATGTTTTTGTAGTGTTATTTATTCTACATAGATTCTTTTATTTTCTTGATACCAAACAAAGTATCCAGTACTTTACAAGAGTTCTTCTTCTTCTTCTTCTTCTTCTTCGTCGTCGTCGTCGTCGTCGTCGTCGTCGTCTTCTTCTTCTTCTTCTTCTTCTTCTCGTCGTCGTCGTCGTCGTCGTCGTCGTCGTCGTCTTCTTCTTCTTCTTCTTCTTCTTCTCGTCGTCGTCGTCGTCGTCGTCGTCGTCTTCTTCTTCTTCTTCTTCTTCTTCTCGTCGTCGTCGTCGTCGTCGTCGTCGTCGTCGTCGTCGTCTTCTTCTTCTTCTTCTTCTTCTTCTCGTCGTCGTCGTCGTCGTCGTCGTCTTCTTCTTCTTCTTCTTCTTCTTCTCGTCGTCGTCGTCGTCGTCGTCGTCTTCTTCTTCTTCTTCTTCTTCTTCTTCTTCTTCGTCCAACCTTCAGATTCTAAACTAGATTATAGAAATTATTTAGTTAGAATATGTAGAATATGTCCAAAGACAAGACCAATATCGGGGCCGTCTGACTGACAGTCAACGTGGACATCTAATTACTTTGTCTCCTTCAGCGCTGCTCTGAAAACTGAAACTTTAAGAAGTGGACATTGACACCGCCGTCAGATGTGTGTGTGTGTGTGTGTGTGTCCTGTTAACCTTCTTGTGTATTTCTACTGTAACCAGGTCAGGTAAACGAGCAGGCGGTCTCACCGTCCCTCGTGTACTTGTCTTTCGGTGTACATGTGCTGGTACAGTATGTGAAGTACCCTCAGGCAGTTGTCATGGCAATTTCAATGACCGATCAGTGCTATTGATCTGACATCGAATTCTCACAGTGGGCGTGTGTGTGTGTGTGTGTGTGTGTGTGTGTGTGTGAGAGAGCGTGTTTCCACAATGCTGTGAAATAAGGCTTCCCCCCTTATACTGTCTAATGTTATGTGATGGTCACCATGGAAACACACCAGAGGGGTGCCTTCCTTCCACACACACTGATAATAATGTTTGGCCTAGATACCCATCCTCGACCAATGATTCCCTTCTTATTGGTGAAGGATGGGAACTCTCTCTCTGCTCACGCATCCCAGTGACAAATGTTAAGCAGTACATGAACGCAACCAAGTAAGAGGGTAAAAAAAAGAGGGACGAAGATGAAATGTTTCTGGGGAGCAGAAGGAGTCCTGAAAGAGGGGGGGTGGGAACACAGGGGAGACCCAATAACAACCTATTACTACCAACGCTTTCCACACTGCTCATCAGTTTTCTCCAACGCCACCGTCAGATCCTGCCATGAGTTCTGTGTGTGCAGTTTGAGGTGTCCTAGTTATCGCACTGTGTGTGAGCTACAGCGCTGCTGCTGCTGCTCCTGCTGCTGCTGCTGCTGCTGATGCTGCTGCTGCTGCTGCTGCTGCTCCTGCTGCTGCTGCTGATGCTGATGCTGCTGTCCTGTACGCTGCTGCTACTGCTGCTGCTGCTGCTGCTGCTGTACGCTGCTGCACGCTGCTGCTGCTGCTGCTGCTCCAAGGCTGGTGATGAGTGTTAATATTGAACGTTATTGAAGAGTGTTTCTCTTCTCTGAGCAGAAAACAAAAATCTCATCTCTGTATCGTCTGGTGTTGTGATGGTCCTTGTGGTTTTTGCCGGTCTGTTTGGGTCAGAACAATCCCACCGTTTCTGTCGACAGGACTTCAGAAAAAAAGTAATCACTAAAGTTCTTCATTAAAATCCAGGCAGATTTCATACATTGTGATTCTGTTTAGAGGAAATTATATGACAAAGAACAACCAAGTTCTTCTGAATTTTTTACCGTTCAAGTCTGGTTATATAAACTGATCTAAACCATCTTCTTAGCTCCAACACCATGAAGAGCCACAGTTTCTGTACGACGCAGCATATACTTCAAATAAAATCAATTGGAGGCCATTTGCAGATGCAGTATTATCAGGGGAGTAGTTCAGACAAGTGCTCTCTGTAAGCTGTTTGCTTAGACCTACTGTTAAAAAGGTGCCTCTAATATTAATTCCCGGAGTGGGATCCAGGAACAGGCAGACGCAGACTCCAGGGAATTCAAAGGAGCATCCATAAAAATGAGCAGCTATTTATTTTTATTCCACTATATGTCCGGTGTTTATGCTGCGTTTATTCATTATTAATGCTGAAGTATCATGGATATAATGTAGCCCATTGTTTCCCAAAGACTGGGTCGCGACCCTCAGGTGGGTCGCAAAAGTTTGTTTTAGTTTTGGGTCGCGAAGATTTGTGACTTTTAAAATACGGGTTTCCAGAATAAAATGTTTGGGAAACACTGATGTAGCCATGGATTTGTGTATTGAATTTTGCTAATTTGTCGACCATGTGAGGTGATACATTAGAAGTACAATTACTTTTAAGGAGTAACTACTTACTGGTCAGTACAGTATAAGTTTGATCAAATTTAAAATACATAAAAAAATATATTATGTAACAGAACAGAGTACATGTATCCAACACGACAAAGATATATTACTTTGACAGACTCTGGAATATTTGTCCGATATAAAAATAAATATATATATGTATATACTCAGACAGGATTTGGAAATTGAGCTAAAGTAGAACTGGCCACCAGAGACTTCAGTAAAAAAAAAACTTTGCAATTCCAGTCTAATGGCGTTGACAGTTTCCACCCTCAACTAACTTGATTTTGTTCAACCACGATAAATAGTCAAATAATTCTGCTCAACCAGTAAATAGATGGATTCCATGTTTGACGTACAACAGACAGACACTTCATGTCTGTAGGTCTGTTGTTTTCATTAGTAATTTTAATGAATGATAATAATAATATTTGGCTGATTGAAATGATTGTGCTGTTGTTTTCGTTGTCATCCCCGCTAACTGTGACTGTGCAGCTTCAGCTGTCATCACCGACCGACTGACATCCACCGACTGACATCCACCGAC